TTATTTTTGGAAATCATTATGTGACTCCCAGTTCACTCCTCCTGTAGAATAAATTGCTTCTAGCTTCAATTCACAATAAAACTTCTTATACTTTCACTAATAGTATTTCACTAATTTGCTATTTTTTTAGATAAGGACAATTAGAAAGACTTTTGTTAAAATCGTTGATACTAGCTGAAGTTCTGTTAGAAAAGCACATTTTGGTTCGGTTACCCCTTGCTGTAGACAGTGTGGTGGGATTATTAAAGATCAAACATTGTAAGAGGATTAGAGTTTACTGGGAAGAGATTCATATTCGTATTTGCTGTCCATAATGTTGGGTTTAATTTTGAGAAGCACATGGATATTTTTATAATGGATACGTAGTGGATGGATGGATGATCCAACCTGGATGGTGCTGCTGTTCTGCGTATTGTGTTTATTGTTTTTATGTTATTAGCGCTTAGCATATTTTTAGTTGATGTTTTTCTTAGTTCATATCTAACATCTTATTACTGTTTTTCTTTTACATTTTTTTATTGTGAGATGTAACTGGGACCCTGTGTCCATAACTCTGAATCTCTCTCTCCCTGAATCTAAAAAAAGAAGGACTTTTATTACTTTATAACTTTGTTACCTTGAACCACTTTGGCTGTGGATGCCTGCCTGGGAGAAGTCGATGGAGTACAGGACGGCCCCCAGAAACCATCTTAGCTCCAGCAAACTGGTTGGTCCACTTAAGGAGTTTACTGCTTAGTGGGGGAAACAGTTTACTGGCACTCCTCTGACTGATGAAGCCCTCCGGATAGAGGGTGAAATGTTTCTATGAAAAAGAAACTGTCCAGATGACCTGACTGAGAGTTATTGGACTTTTATTATATTTAAAACTCCTAAAACGAGACGAAGGATGGCACAGTGGCAGTGTTGGTAGACCTGCCAACTCTCAGCGAAAGTTTGCCGGATTGAATCCCAGCCAGGGGGCCTTTCTGGATGGAGTTTGCATGTGATCGCTGTGCATGCTTGGGTTTTCTCTGGGTACTCCAGTTTCCTCCCACAGACCAAAAACGTGTATGTTATACTGATTGGTAACTCTAAATTGTCCCTAGGTGAGAGTGAGAGAGAAAGTTTGTTTGTCTATATTTGTGTCCCTGTGATGGACTGGAGACCTGTCCAGGGTGTCCCCACAGTGACTGCTGGTCATGAGCACCCGGCAGCCACCCCGGCCAAAGGGCCGGCCATCGCAACCAGGAACCTTGATCCATCCATCCATCCATCCATTATCTTTACCTGCTTATTCCATTTTGGGTCAGGGGGGTCGCTGGTGCCAATGTCCAGCAGTCACTGTGCGAGGGGCGGGGTACACCCTGGACGGGTCGCAAGTCCATCACAGGGACACATAGAGACAAACGAGACAAACAACCATTCACTTTCTCACTCACACCTAGGGACAATTTAGAGTTACCAATCAGCCTAACATGCATGTTTTTGGTCTGTGGGAGGAAACTGGAGCACCCGGAGAAAACCCACGCATGCACGGAGAGAACATGCAAACTCCACCCAG